CATGTTTGATTCATCTACAATGGAACAGTTGGCTCAAAGTAAATGAATTTTATCAAAGAAATAGTACGTGAAGTCAAAGCGAGAATGCGAGATTTAGTCGGTTCATAGACCGAACTGAGATAGGGAAAGCCAGCCACTGTGGTAAACTGGCTTGAGAATCCGGGCTTTGTTTGGTAGACCACTTGGTGAGGCTAAAATATGTGCTATCAAAAGCTTGGGACAGATCACAAGCAAGAAAGTCTCTAAAAGCACAGATCTAGTGGCAGAATTCTAGGATAGAAGAAGATAAGAGATGGATTTTTCAGGGCACAAGGTAGACTCTGGAAGTAGTTGGATGGAGAAGATTTTACAGTGAAGAAGCTAAATTAGATGAAAATCTCCATCTCAACGGATTGATGTATACTAAAGTCACACTTCTGGAGTAGGCGAACATAAGCCAGTTGGAAGTTGTGATGATGAAGGGTAAAATACGAGGATATGGGATAGGTGAAGGCACCAGGACGGAAGAAAAGATACAACAACTTTTCAGCACAAAGTTGGTCATTTAATGAGCTTCACTTGTCTCTTTGATGAGTTGTAGTTTGGTGTTAAGAATGGCAAGGCTGACTCACGATGCCGACTAGGATGCCTGCGAAATGTCTGAGACTGTGTCAAGTCCACAGTCCTACTATGAAATGATCATGACAACTTTGGCGGAGGACTTCAGACAAGGTGTGTTCGTGTCAGTCTCTAATTATGGAGTACTGGTTCTATACTGTCTGTATTTAGGTTGTATTTGCGTTGGGGTCAGACCATTAAATCTGATGGGTGTTGGTAAAAATCGAGCTAATTCGAATATACTTTTAATTACTGCATTCTTGCATTCTATTTTAGAATTATTTGATCTGTCTAACGTTAAAATATGTCAAGGAGGAGATGTAAATGACGGAAAATGGCTGTGCTTTTGACTCTGTCTCATTGTTTCGGTATCACTTAACATCATCTTAGGTTCTAATTTGGGCGATTTTATGTACAAACCTGTATGACCCCATTTAATAAATAGGTCTTCGAGATTACCAGTAGATCTGAAACAAAAAATAAGTAATGCAATCGATCGCTATAACGAATACAACTTTAGTTCGTCTATAATGCCACTAAAGAAGTGTGATATGGGAAAGGTCTAAGCTTCCTCCCTATTTCCTTCTGTCCTGTGACCCAAGGACACTCGTGGCAGTCTGGCGTAATGCTTAACGTGTCGAGATTATGCGCTGAACTACCATACTTCGGGTTTAATTCCCGCTGTAGGTGCTGATGGGACCAGTCAAAGCGAGATTGAAACTGTAGTTCACTACAGCCAGGAAGAGAATACATTTTAGGAAGCAAGTCTATATGTAATTTAATGGAACATAAGGCCTACTCATATGATTGTTGGAAAATTCAACTACAAGTCTTTCAACAACTTAAACGAAATAGGGTAAATAAAGCTGTTATATATGTATGATTTTAACTAGGATACAGATTTTAATCGATTTAAATGCAAAAGATAACCTATCATAACAATATATTTGGAGATATTAGCTACTGGGTCGACAAAACCGTGCCAAACTGTGGCATTATAAAAATAATCCCACACCTGATAACTACGAGACAAAATTGTAAAAATACACATATATGTTTTTTTCGTGTCGGTAAGCTCATTTTAGGTAAATTCGTTCATTAAGAGCAAAGTAAATTTTGCTCACTTAAGATGCCTTATGGACTTATAGTTGAATTTTCCCACAATGACTCAATTACATTTTATTTAGCTTTGCTTCCCAAAAGGCATTCTCATTTAGGATGAACTACATTTTTGACATCACTTGAACTGGTCTCAGCAGCATACCCACCGGGATTCGAACCACCAGTATCGTGGTGGCGTTATCAGTTCACTGTGACTACAATTGAGTCACAGCGTAGATGTGACTTTTAAAGCAAGCCAGGACTTTCCCAACTCGCAATTTTATAGTGAGATTGTTGATTAAGCAAACGTGTGTTTGCCATTGCAATAAAAGGCGGTAATTATTTTCAATATAATTAGTTTTTGAAACTATCAATAATTATTGAATTAGAAATTAGTAAATTCTCAGACTCTTCTATAAAAAGAAGGGAAACTGCGGTAATACTAAAAGCCATACTATCTTAGTCTTAAAATCTTCGATTAAACTTCCTGGCCCTTAATCACGAATTATTATTATTATTATTATTATTATTATTATTAATAGATACAATACGTTTATTTCTAAAAAAGCTGTAGAAAATCTCAGTAGTAAAAAATTCCACTACAAATAAAAGGCTAATTGAAATACATTTGGACCATAATGTTCAGTTGTACCAACTTTATAAAATTTATCTATCAGCACCTTAACACCTCATTCGACCTAATGTGACAACAACGCTTATTTTATTTTATTTTATTCATTTAAAGCTTCTTGCATTTTAAAATTCTTCTCTTTAATAAAGTTGACTGCTGTCAGACTGATTAGCCCCATCAGTCTTTGATACCTGGTTGTTAGTCAGTTTCCTACGTCCTATACCTTTGTATAATGCTATTATGCAACACTTACACTGCTCTTTTGAGACTTTTTGAACTCCAAGTTATCCAGATGATTTTGAATGAATTGCAGACAGGCGTTGAAGTCCGACTGATTGTACTCGTATGGTATACTCCATCCCATCGGTCCATATTTACGACGCTCCTGCACGGTGCAATGCATAAACGCGAGTGCATACAACATGATCTTCCAGTGGTAGGTGACGCAGATGTCAAGCTGATCCTGTGAGATTTCCGAATATGTGCGTCGAAGGTTTGCTTTGATGCCTTCAGGTGGTTCATTTGTGAACTTGACGGATCGTTGTAGAAAGTTGATCGGAAACCTGGGATGCTCTTCTGTGGTCACCCAAAGACGGAAACGTTCGTGGAATCCGACTGAACTTGCAGCTGCACCTGAGCCAGCCCCAGCCCCACCTCCAGCACCAGCACTGGCGGCCACTTGAGGGGTCGGACCAGGAACGCCTGAAGCGCCGGGTTCAGCGGGGCTGTTAGCATCACTCGTTCCGGCAGTCTGTGAGTCGAAAAGAAGAGGCAGGTGCACATAACTAAACATAGATGAATAGGTTCAAACGTGCATACTTAGGGTGAGATATAGATGTGTCGAGAGAAGAGGTAATTACAGTTAACTAATTTTTCGAATACAGTATTGTTTTCGTGACTACCAGTAAATCAGTAATATGATATGTATTCACCAAATTTCGTTTAAGGTGAT